ATCCTAAAAGTTTGAGGCTACATTTTAATGACTGATACATCCTAAAAGTTTGAGACTACATTTTAATGACTGATACATCCTAAAAGTTTGAGGCTACATTTTAATGACTGATACGCCCTAAAGGTTTGAGGCTACATTTTAATGGCTGATACGCCCTAAAAGTTTGAGACTATATTTTAATGACCGATACGTCCTAAAAGTTTGAGGCTACGTTTTAATGGCTGATACGTCCTAAAAGTTTGAGGCTATATTTTAATGGCTGATACGCCCTAAAAGTTTGAGGCTATATTTTAATGACCGATACGTCCTAAAAGTTTGAGGCTACATTTTAATGACTGATACGTCCTAAAAGTTTGAGGCTACATTTTAATGACTGATACATCCTAAAAGTTTGAGGCTACATCTCATCTTTAAGTTTCTGTGAAATAGTCAATACATTTCTTTACTGGTACGAAAGTAAGTAACGAACTCCACTCACAGGTTTAGGTGCTTTAAGCGTTGTTTTTTTAAAATGTTTTGCTATACGATACCAGAACAACATCACTCCTAGAGTAAAAGAGTGGAAACTATATTACACTGAATAGGCAGAATTGAACCTAATGTGTTTTAATAGCAGTGCTGGGTGTAGTTTTCAACTGAAATGTTACTAACTGGGAAAGATTCAATTACTCAAGCTGATTACAAACTGATCCTATTTATCATCCACCACTTCTGCAATGCTAGAAGTGATATATAAGTCAGATTCGTTGGTTGTGTTTCTGTTAAGTAGTAGAATTACAGAAAAGTATAACGGTGTAAATTTAACACCGATTCGAAATTTTCTTTTCACACTTACGATACGATAATACAAGAATCGAGATTTCAAAATGCTTGGTTTTCTAGCACATTTCAAGTTTTAATTTTGTTTTGTTTTTCAGACGAAATCGAAGATAAATGCATAGCTGTGCATGAAAAGAGACCAAAAGAATAGAATAAAGAAGCAGACGAAAATAATGTTTATGAAACGCGAAAATATTCTTAAGCAATTAAACAAATCAGTTATTCTATTTTCTTATATGAATGTGTCTACTGCTTTTTTAATTGGCACTTCTGTTAAGCCTAATATATATTTTGATACTTTTATAATCTTGCTACATAATTGTTACTTATAATTGCAAAGCATGTTATTTGTTAAATATACTTGAAAATATACCCAAATTCCACGTTCATGTATGCAACGCCTAAATGTATGGAATGTGATTACATTGTTGTTGATCAAGTAAAATGCATTGTATTATTACAGTAAATACATTTTTTTCTTAACAGTGAAATTTCCAGAGTGATCGATTAAATTTTTCTTGTAAATAAAAACGATCGACCATGTTTTCCAGTGTCAGACTTAATGGATCTGCACCTCTACAACAGAAGCTTTTCTATTTCTATAAATATTTATTTTATAAGATAACACGTGTAGTCGATGGCGCCCCTCGTCGACTCGGCTGATAATTCTGAAATAGTCTTTAGAACACTTTGTATCGATTTGGCCTTCTTTATAAAAAAAAAATAATGTTTAAGAAATGTATAACAAAAATTAAACAAACGAAATCGTAAAACTAAAATGAGAGAGATAATGTAAAACTTCCAAAGCTATATATATATATATATATATATATATCATTGATTTCATTTGTTTTCTAGAGCATAACCACATCGGGCTATCTGCTGTGTCTACCACAGTTATTGTGTAGTTTACGCTAAAAAACAGTAAAAATGAACGAAAATAACTGCAATCAAAAATAGTTAAAAATGAGTTAATCTAAACATTATTTTTAGCAGGAGACATTTACTGAAAAAATTCGCTAACTTGTTCTCTGCCTTTTCACAGTTCGACTAGAAATTCTTAGGATTAAGAGATCGAGTCGTTGTATATTAGCTTGGTAAACGTTTTTAAGTTAGATAGTTTTAGATCTTGAAGTAAGCATGTAGTCCTGTTTTTCCAGATATGGATCCTTCCTGTGTGCTACAAAATATTTCTCACATTACCCCCCCCTTTTTTTTTTTTTTACTCCTTCCTTCAAGTGTAAAACATGAAGTAGAAAATGTATCTCATAATCTTTCTTGTCAAAATCTAAAATGTAAATTAAATACTTTTACAGCATAAACTTAGTTTTCCAGTGGGACAGCGGTAAGTTTACACACAACGCTAAAATCCGAAGCTCAATTCCCACGGTGGACAGAGTGTAGGTAGCAAGCACACTGTGTAGCTTCGTGTTAAAATAACAACATGAAGTTGAGAATGAAAGTTCAGTATCTTATTGTAATAACAACAACATGAAGTTGAGAATGAAAGTTCAGTATCTTATTGTAATAACAACAACATAAAGTTGAGAATGAAAGTTCAGTATCTTATTGTAATAACAACATGAATTTGAGAATGAAAGTTCGGTATCTTATTGTAATAACAACAGCCTGAACTTGAGAATGAAAGTCCAGTATCTTATTGTAATAAGAACAACAATATTAACTTGAGAATGAAAGTTTAGTATCTTATTGTAATAACAACAACGTTAACTTGAGAATGAAAGTTCAGTATCTTATTGTAATAATAACAACAACATTAACTTGAGAATAAAAGTTCAGTATCTTATTGTAATCTTAAATATACAATTTAAATTATTAATTTATTATATATAAAACTTTTGTTTGTTTGTACTTAAGCAGAAAGCTACACAATGGCCTATCTGTGCTCTGCCCACCACGTGTATCGAAATCTGGATTCTAGCGTTGTAAGTCTGCAGACATACCGCTGTGCCACTGAGGGGCTTTTTTTTTAACACATCAAAGCATGAATGTTAGGAAACCACTTATGTAGCACATTTCTACACATCAAGGCATGAATGTTAGGAAACCCCTTATGTAGCACATTTCTACACATCAAGGCGTGAATGTTAGGAAACCCCTTATGTAGCACATTTTTACATATCAAGGCATGAATGTTAGGAAACCCCTTATGTAGCACATTTCTACATATCAAGGCGTGAATGTTAGGAAACCCCTTATGAAGCACATTTCTATATAAGAAAAGATATGTAATTTTTAAAAAAATAACTACGATGAATAGTTCCAACTTATCGATTGCTCAGTGCTTCACAAAATATCCTGAAGAACGGAGTTACACGTGCATAACAAACTTTTTTGTAAGGATTTCAGTGTTAATTAAAGAGGAAACACGGTAGCGTTATTGAACTAACTGAATAAATAAATGTACCATAAAGTGTAAGGAACTAAAACTACGCCTGTTACGAGGTAGGGTTTTGACAGTCACACTTTTTGGAATAGCAGAACTTCTATAGAAATACATCAGGTTAAGCAGGGAGGCGAAAACGTGCAAGTATGTTATTACAAAATAAAAACTTCTATTTAATAAATAACTATTTGGGTATCAATCCTCAAATAACGATTCTGCTTCTTTCAGGGTTTATTCCTGAGAGGTCAAATTCATGAAAAAATATACTTTTGTTCAGGTCATTTATTTATCGTTTTTCAGCTCTGTTTATGGAGCCCGGTACTGTTTTCTATAAGAACAAGTTAATTGCTTCGAGTATAGAACACGGGACAGGGTTACATATAGATAACAGAACAGTGTTACATGTAGAACACAGAATAGGTTTACATATAAAACACCACAGGACAGAGTTGCACATAGAAACAAACACAGGGTTACATATAGGTAAAAGAACAGTGTTACATGTAGAACACAGAATAGTTTTACATTGTATAACACCACAGAACGGAGTTACATATAGAACAAAAACATAGTTATGTATAGAACAGAGATTAATCAACTAGTGAAGAAAAAGGAATGGGAACAGTAAGACAAGCAGACAAAAACTCGGATCAATCAGCTAGTATAGAGAAACAAAGAAAAAAGACTTATTAACTAGGCTGAGAATACAAAATGAAATAGTTAGATAAAACACAATGTAGAGCAGAGGCTGATTGGCTATCACATATGACATAGAACAGGGGTTGATGGCTGAATGTAGATAACACAAGAAAAGTAGAGCATGATAAAACATTAACATAACATTTTCACATTCTAAACATCCTGACATTATCGTTATCATTGTTCTTTGTATTTTCATTTTTTTATATGATCACGGCTCATCGTTTTCGTAACCCCAAATATCTTTGTGTATCAGCATTAAAAAACTCACTTGTCTGGAGTTATATGAAAAACAATGTTATGGTATATAAAGATAATTTCTTTGGAGGGTTAGTCGCGCTTTGTAAGAATGATTTGTAATGGAGTCACTGTAGGTGCGAGTCGTATTGCTATACGTGTCTGGAACAAGAATGGGCTTCGAAACCACATTCCTAACCAATCCAAAGCTACACTCTTACACGAAGACAATCTTTACAAAAGAGAACCCTTTTAGCCAATAGAGACATTGCGATGAAACTGGGCATACCTTATTGTACCGTTAACAACAAATACACAAAGGTTTGAAGATGAGGAAGGCCCAAAAACTTCCAGTCACACCTCGAAATCAACACCTATATTCATGTGAAAGATGGCGGGGATCACAATAATCCCTTCCTACCACATACCTATCCAACCTCCAGATGCATTTCCAATGAATTATTGTATCTTTGATTTCCTTAAACATGGTCTTGGAAGCCGATGTCCTCGTGCAGTGGAGGGTTTGTTAAGACATCTAAGGTTGTCTTGCCGTCCTTCACAAAAACTTGAATCAGTGGAAATTGTCGTGTCTGTCAATAGCATATAATCAAGGGTAGGACGAAACTTTAAACATCACTTTTTTTACAAAGTGCAGTTAGACTTCAGTAATTTCTGCTAGAAAGAGCAATACACTAATCAGGGACGTTATAAATTAATTTTTATAACTATAAAGAGAGTAACTGAGAGTTTCGTTATCAATGGTTCCAACATATAAAAGGTTTAAAAACAAATTCAGAATCCCAATGAAGAATGGGATAATAAAAACTACCAAAATTACAAAGATAAAACCTATCTTGTAAAAGAAAAAAAAGAGTAACATTTAATTAGAGTTCCAATGTAAAAAGATACAAGTTCCACTAAAATAGTGAGAAAACCTATCTAAGTTACTAATATATATTGAAAAAGGTAAGCCTATCAAGAGTTACAACGTAAAAAGATAGAATAAAAAAGATAAAATCTTATCGAAACTTCCAATATTAAAGGTTAAAGCCTATCCAGAGTTCTAATATAAAAAGGTAAAAAAAGTTTGGATTTTTAATGAAAAGGGATAAAATCTTATCCAGAATTCCAATGTTCAAAAATGTGTAAATTACAAAAAATATGGTAAAATTCCTATTCAGAGTTTCAATATACAAAAAATGTAAACTACATTAAAGTTTCAATATACACATATATATATGTGTATATATAACTTCAATAAATTTTGAGCATTGATCACTGTTATTAAAAAGAATAAAAGTGTCATCCACATACCTTCTGTACAGAACAGGCTTAAAGTTAACTGGACAGGTGTCAAGCCATTTCTGTTCGTAATGAGAGAGAAATGCATTAGCTAAAGTTGGACCTAGTGGGGAGCCCATCGCAACGCCATCTATTTGTTCATACAAGGTGTTGTTGAACATGAAATGTGAATTTTTAGTGGTAAGATCCAGCATGGTCTTAAATTGATTTTCAGAAAAGCCATTTAGAGGAATGTTATTACGCGAAAGCTCAGATATGCATATGTTAATGGTTTCATTTAAAGGAATATTTGTATAGAGGGAGGTAACATCAAAGCTCGCCATGAAGAGATTCTTTTTAATAACTTCAATATATTTAATAGGGGAAAAATCTTTATAAAGAGTAACTGTACAAAAAGGGGAAAAATCCTATTCGGCGTTTCAAACCTGAACCGCACTTTATGTGACACATGGGTTAAATGGCCATGCCAGACACCTCTAGGAATTCAGGTATTACTGTCCCTAATTTTAATCCACTGGCCAGAAGATGAAGGCATTCATTCAGAAGCACCCGCTGCCACAAAGTGCTTGCTTTGTTTTGAATCGATTGTAAAGCACCCATAAATGATAGCGTGGAGCTTGTTCGGCAACATCGTGGCCAGAATCATTGATCCTAGGACAAGCACTCTAACACGCTGAACCTGGTAAAAATATACTCCAAATTCCAATATACAAAACCTTATAACTGTTCAGAGTTCACTGTATCAGAAACTGTAATCCAGACGTCCTCTAAACAGAACAGGAGAAAAGTACTTAGAATTCTAGTATGGATGAGTTAAAAATTACTTAGATTTTCAATAACCCAATGTAGCATTTCGCTATTTTAGTATCTACGCTTTCAAATAATTCCCATAGGTTCGTT